GTATGCTCATGTCTTTCTCTTGTAATGAGAGGAAAAAAACCACCTCAAATCAGCTATACTTGGACTTCTATTGGATAGCTTTGTGTGTTAAAATACCCCAGACCCCCGGCAAAACATGCCCACAGAAAATCATTAGAGGGAAAATTCAATATCTCATTAAGCTAGGGGGGCAAATTCTGTTTTGGATTTCCTGTTGTATAAACCTGCATCACTGAATTTCCTTTGGACAGACACCAGCACTCCCAACAGCAGACTATGAACCCTGTATTCCGGTGCCTAGTTACAAAAGAGTCAATCATATTTGTTTAAAATCTGGTAGGAAGGTAGTAAAGAATAACCAATAGTCGAACAGGCCATACATTAAAGCAGATAAAAATTACTGTCACCTACTGTGTGTGAAAATATGGCATTAAAGAAGCCCCAAAAAAGCCAGATGGCCCAGGCAGGTATTCCACATGCCCCAGAGGTACTTTTGCTTGGTGGACAATCATCTCCTTTTACAGTGGCTGTATCTATTGAAGTACTTGGTGAAAAGGCTCCTTGGGCAGACTTCATTATGGCTGAACACGATGTTTGTGAGATCCAGCAATCATCAAGCCAACTTAAGCCTGCTTTGGAGGCTGTCAGTGGACCAGGATGATGCAAATACCTTGAACTGCCCCCTTGCAGAAGTTTAAATTCAGCAGTGGAGGAGGTTTTGGCTCTATTTTGGACAGAGGTGGAGAGGGGCAGAGGGTGAGAGTATAGATTTAGCAGGCTGATGTATTACATGTTGATCACTGGATGTTGCCACTAAAAGCACTTTTCTTCCTGAATGTAACTCATCTTTCCAACTCTACTACTCCCTGGAGAGAGTTATGACAAATGTGTGTGCTGTCTTTCCTTGTCTTGCTTTGTAAAAGGCAATTCCTACAGCAAGAAGAGAAAAATTATTTATCATAGAATTATACACATTTTTCTGGGTGCTTAATGAAGCTTGAACTTGAGTGGAGCAAAGAGATTGCTTATTGTTGATTTTTTTTGGAGATCACTGCACAACAAACAGCAACTGAATAAGCAATTAAGTTAACTGGCTTTAAAACTCATATTGGTTGAGGATTAAGGTAATTATGTCTGCATTTACACACATTCATTGCAGTCTTAAATAGTCTTGCTTGCTGTTTTGTTGCTGATGTGGCTCTAAAACTAATCTGAGTTATTGTCCTGCTTTTAATTACCTCAAAGGTTACAAACACAAGCTCTCCTTGCTATAAATATAGCTACGTTATTTGTATTGCATGCTCACAGGAGATGCAGACCTCTTTTGCTAGGTTTATACAAACAGATCCAACTGTTTCTTCCTTCATCAAAGAATTCACAATACTTTAGAGTTCAGGGATCTGTTAAAATAATACACAATAGATGGATTTGGTATTGTCATACAGTGATTTCAATGTCAAAGGAGAAAAAATCTATTTTTAAGTTTAAGTGAAAAGAGAGACTCTGGGAAAGTGGTATCACTCTCCGCTGGCAGGGCAATGTGGATTCTTCACCTTCTGGGTTACAAATAAGTTTCCTTTTAAATGCCTGGAATGCAGGGGAGGGGAAAGGAAGGGAAACCCCCACATTCTCCTTGTCTAACAAGAAGCCACAGCGTGAGAACCACTCCCTAGCAGAAGTAATATGTGATTGACAATGGTTTTCTTTACAGCCAGGGCTAAAAATGGTTTAGGTGTAAACAGACAAATGCAGAACATTTTAATGCCCTTTACAAACTCAAGGGCTGCTTACACAAGTACTCTACATGCAGGGTGGTTAGCTAGTGGCACCAAGAAATCAGCAAGTTTCATAATTCCTAAAAAACAATGAATTTTTGTATCAGTGTATGAGCACAAACACAGGAGAAAAAATATTTCTTGTAATGGGCAGATTCACAGAGGGCAGATTCACAACTGGAGGTTTATTCTCCAGGCAGTCCAGGCATTCATACGCGTGATCTTAGGCAAGCTGCTATATTTGGCTTCACCCCTCCTGCCTGAAAAACTGAGAGAGAAATACTTTCCTCTTTACAGAGAGGATGAATGTGTGTGAGGCACTTGGTACGATGGGGTGGGAGCTCTGCAAACAACCAGAACAAAGTCCAAGGCTTTGATACAATTTCCCTGCAATCTTAAAGTCTTCTCTGAGGTCTACAATGAAAGGACATCAAGGAAGTGAGGTGAGGTGGGACAGCCTCAGAATTTCGCAGGGAATATGAAGGAACCTTTTAATTAAAACATGTAGAATTGCCTTGTGCTGAAGTTAATGATCATATGAAGAAAGTTATGCAGCAACAGCTTAATTGTATTTTTCAACAGTTTGAAAAATGTTGCTAACATGAACTGTATCTCTGTGGCTGTGTTCTTCACTGATTCTTCCCTGTGAATCACACTCAGTCACAGACTTATCCAGGGGTTCTGCAGGCTGTAAAAGGGCAACCAGCTTACCAGCTCTTTCCATGGGCATTTTGCCTAAGGTCAGCAGAATTTGTTCCTTGATGGTAGTGAAGTCATCTGGAGATGAACTCCCTTCACACCTCCCTAGGAGGCCACCTGAACTAAATAGGACTCAGCCCCAAACAATGTAGACTTCTAAGGTCCTAAATGAGTATTTGGTAAACATGATGATTTGTAACTGAGAGAAATCTTTATTTTTAAAATGAAAACCAGAGGAGAAAGGCAATGGTGACAGCAAGATCATAAGTAATAGAAAGTCTACTGCGAATCAAAACAACAGATGTAACATGAACAACAGCATCTTTTATAAATACAAATTAGGCTTTTCTATTTGACACATTGGAAAGGCTAATATGCCCAAAATAAATTTCCCTGAATCTCTCAGTAATGTTTTATGGTCAGTGTTGCCTGACTGTTCCAAAAAAAAACCCGTGGATGATTTATATTCCAGAAGAGTCACTAACCCCAAATGACATTTTTCTGTCAGACCTGACATTAATAACTATAACCACTTCCACTAACTATATTCTTTTTGCAGCACAGAAGAAACAAAGTACAGGTGATTCACACATCAGTGATTTCTTGATCTATATTGACTTTCCTTCTTGCTTTATTAGCAGGCCTGCTGACTAAATGAGTCACTGATTATCACCTTAAGCACCAGACAGGAACTAAATTATCACAGTGCTCCCTCCGCAAAGCAGGTATCATACCATGTTTGCTGTAATCAGTCTCTGGGGCTTAAATTACCTCAAACTTCAAATAGGAAATAACTTTGTCCTCCCCATTTCAGAGCATGAAGAACCAGCATTTTCTGTGACTGGAGGAATGTCTCCAGCCCAAAAATTCCTGGGGTTACGCTAATCTATCTGTTGCAGCAAGAAATAAGCTACAGTTGATGAATCAAAGTGCCATGTAGAGGCAGACAGTGCCTGCCCTTCCTCATCGACAATGGAAGAGGTAGGATGGGCAGATCATGTTTATATTTCCATGTCCAACCACATGAGGAAGAGGAGAAGATCAGCTACTGCTTCATTCCTTGCATGGCAGGTACTGTTACCAGCCTCTCACTCATTCACTAGCCCAGGCACACAAAGAAACAAAATTCAGTTGAACATTTACAAAGCTGCTTCTAGTTTTCCATTATCACAATATGTATCTGATTATTTATAGGTAGCTTTCAAAGCCTATTACTAAGACTTTGCATAATGAACAAATAAATTTTGCACCAGCTCTTGCATAACAAGAATGCAGGGCTTGACTTTTCTCCTTGAGTTTTTCACTGTTGTCATTACAATTACTTTAGTGGTGAAACCTCTGACTGATACCACAGTGAGAGCTTGTGAAATTAACGAACCAGAAAGTATTCCTAACTATCTCTAAATAAATCATGAAGGGAAAGTTTCTTTTTAACATTTTGTCCCTATTTTTAGCATGTACATCAAAACCTGACAACTTACCCTCGTCTGACATGATTCTACAATGTTATTTCTGCCTAGTCATATGGCACTAACCGTGCCACTCGCAGCTATTCCTATCTTGTTCCAGCTTGAAACCAACCTTGCACGGACTCCTTTGTGTCCAGTAATGCAGTCAGGGTGGAGTAGGCATCTCAGGTGATGTAAGTACCAATGAGAAGCAATGGAAAATTTTTTGAATGATGTATCTATCTTCAGACCTTGGTTTTTCTTTCATTGATAAACAAAGAAGCTCAAAAATACTAATGCTGTTTTGGAATTCGTAACTTTTTTGTGTTCAAAACCCATACAAATACTTATGTACTAACAAAAAGGCAATTCCTGCACAAAATTTTAATTGAATATGTCCTCCTTCCCCTTCTCTCTCTACTGATGCATGCTCATCTTTCCAGGCTTTTCTAGGAGGTTTTGAAAGAGTAAAGTTACAGAGCTCAAATGCTTACAGTGTAATTTCTTCAAAGGTGCATGGTTACATGGTACTTAAGTTGGAAATAGTTATGCACTTAATTAGTCACAGAATATATAACAGCATATGACCTAGATAACAAATCATGACACACTGAGCAAATGATATAAAACACACTTCATTTGAATTCTCACAAAACATGTCCATTATCCCTCCATAAACAGATTCTGTCAGGCAAAGGGGAGCTCACCAATTAGACTCTTTTTTTCAGCTTAAATGTTGCAAATGCTCTATTCCAATAAGTCTCTCTAAATGACTCCAGTGTAAACAAGATAAGCTTCTGTCCCATTAAGATCATAGCAAATTAGAGGATTTGAACATAAAGCTCTTTGTGTGAGCCTATTCCACTACACTACATGGATTTTCCCAGTTCAATGGCACTCCTATTACTAAAAACACTGAAACAAGACATTGCCAAAACCTTCTAACCCCACCTCAGAAAATGGAAATCTGGTAGGTCTTTTCTAACTTTACTTCCTATGACAGTACAATTAAAACCTGTAGGAAAAATGACTTAATTTAAAAAAATCCACTGAAAATAACATCCACATTATACAAAGAGTAAAATAAATGAAGTATTACCTTGGCAGGTCCGTTCATCTGTGAGAAGTTTATAGCCTTTCTGGCAGCTGCACTCAAAGCTGCCAACTGTGTTTCGGCAGAAATGGTCACAGCCACCATTGTTTACCAAGCACTCATCAATGTCTGCAAAGAACAAACAGGCAAAAACTTAGTTCACAACAGCAATTCAGTAGATCAGGACAGGAGTATAGGAGTTGACCCAGATCCCCAAGGAGGCTGCTGTCCCTGTTAGGAATGAGGCTAGTCAGATGAATGCCTTCCCAAACCTTTCTCACAAGGCTTACAAAAGAGCTATGGGCTGACTTGTTCTGGAGACAGAAGCATTTCTCTCAGATGACCCAAGCTGAGGCACTTTGATGTTAAAGAACACTCAGGGAAGCTTCTTTGTAGATGCAGTGGTCTGCCTAGACAGAATACTTCAGCCTGTGTAAGATCTGAATCCCTTACCTTACATAGGAACTATCAAACCCAAAAATACATTAAAAATTGAAATAAAAACAAAGTACAACATTTGAATCCCGAAAAAATACTTCCATTACCCTTACATAAACAAATGGAGAGATATATTTGTTCAGAATTAGAATTATATGCTAGTTTGTTCATTATGAACATAATATCACTGAATACCAATTTTCATGTGTCTAACTTTTTTCATTTGGTGTAACAGAAGTGTAACTGCAAGTGCATGTGAAATGTTGCTCCTCCAGTTGTTCTGAAGGCAGAGCACCTATAGGTTTTATTTGAAAGCCATATATACGCATGAAGGATGGGACTAATGGTCTTACTTTAAATAATGATCACAAAGTGCATTGATGAACTTGGTAAGACCTCTGTTCTGCATTTCAGACTGGTGATTCTACTTCCTCCACCTTGTAACTTCTCCCAAAGGTGTTGAAGAACTGGAATGACTGGTCCCTTCTCCATCCCACAAAAACTTGTGCAATAAGTACATAATAGGTCACAGATCCTCATATGAAATACTGGGCATCTTTCCATCCTCCCTGACTTATAATATCACGGATCCACATTTATTTGAAAAAGAAAAGAAGTACATTTTTAAGGAGAACAACAGTGTCAAAAAATAGATCTTTTGAGGGGGTGCATACAATGAAGAAGTAATATGTCATAAATCGTTGGCTGCCCATTTCTGGAAGCGAAAACAAGATCTTTCAGAAAAGTGAGTGGAGAGTGATGCTTCCTATTGAAAAGCCACTTGCTATAAGAGCTTTGAAACTCTGAGGTGACAGCTGTACATTTAAAAAGAAAATCTTGCAAAATGTAAATCTAGGTGCCAAAAGAGCTAATATGTGGAGACAGAAATTTATGAAAGAGCATGACGCTGGTGAATGAAGGGCTCATTTGAAAATTATTTGAATTTAGCATGAATTTTAGTGGATATCATTAATTCATTTTTGAAAACATGATTACCAACATGGGAGAGTAGTATGGTTCTTACCACATTTCTGCATGTAAAATATAAATAGCAGCAAGAGGAGTGAGGAGGTAAATCTAGAAATTCTAATAGATGGGCAGCAATTTCAGCCCTGTTTTCTAAATGCCACTTTGCTGCACTGTCATTGACAGAAATATGCTCAGGAAGGTGTACCATTCAAATAAGCAAGAACAACGTATATGGTTACAAAAGTTTGCTTATGAATTGCGTTTGTGGCAAAGAGAAAGCAAATTTGCTCTGAGACCCTCTGCACTAATACTACTGCTAATTACTTTTGTGTCTGGTTCTGCAGAGGAGTGGCTTTTGCATTGAGTCCTATTAAAAGCATGGGGGTAAAATGGTAGGTAGCAGCTGTGGTGGTATTATGCCCTGAGTGCTTTGCACAAAGCCAGCTGAAATCTTTATGTTGCGGGTAACAAAGTTCTCAAAGTGATCTGAAACCAGGAGTCATGTATGTTGTCTGTAGCCCTCCAGTTTTGGTGATTAGGCTAGCCAAGAACAGACAACTTTAAGCTCCCAACCTGATAAATCCAGTAAAGAACACACTGAGGGTTGCTCTACATAATACCACGAGAGTGGAGGCAGCAATGCATTTGGTTTCAGCTGTGATCACCAGCACAGGTCAACCAGTAAAAACACAAGACTTGTTTGCCCAGTTCCTGCAGGCTGGCATTTCCATTTGTAGAAATGATTCCTCCCAGCTCCACTGCGTGCCACTGGGATTGTGTTGCAGGTTTTATGATAGATTACCACAACAGGCCCATCCTTTGCACAGCACAGGTATACCTAACTATAGTTTAGCTTGTCCTGACAAAACTGTTGGACAAATGGAATTGTGAACTAAAATTGCTAATATATTACTCATCATAAACACACAGAGTACTCATCCATCATGAAGAAGATCTCTTTTACCCATGATAAGAGCAACATGACCTTTGGGCTACTCTGCTGCCTGAGACTGCTTGAACCAGAAATTACTTGCAGCCTGTCAAACACTATCCTGAAGTAAGAATTGATGTTTTAAACGATGGCCCCTGGATTTCACAAGTTAAATTCCAAATTCCAGTCTCACTAACTTTCTTTTCAGGGTCTCTGAAGACCATAGGGGACAAAAATGAAACCCTCCCACCCTCAGAGGGTAGATTTGAAGCTGTTAATAATTGTAATTCCACTGACAATGTATCATATCAGTTTTACACCAGCAATTCTTTAGAATAATCCTGAACTAGGATCTGAGTAAAACCTGGGAGAGTCCACAGGAAAAGAAAGCATCTACTCATTTCTTCCAGCTGAAAACATGATGTGGCCTTTTGAAACCAGGACCATAATAACAGAATGGAGGTCAAAACTGTTAGTTGCAAAAATATTCTAAATAACACAAACAGTGCCAATGTCTCTGCTTTCACTGTATTTCTTTCCACGGCCACAGCAAGACTGACAAGGCATGTAAAAATTATTTCACTCTATGGAGAGCAGCGCATTGCTGCATTTCACTTGAAAGAGAGCAGTATCCAACCGTATCATGTCTAACTGGTTCAGAGAAATTGCACCAAGTCTATATCCCCACTATTTTTCTTTCCATAGCTATAAATAATTCATGTTATGAGCCATGTAAAAATAAATGATTCCACTGTGTGAGAAGGTAAGGCCCCATTTATCTTTAAACTGCCTGGTACCCAGCTTTGTCGAGTGCCTGTTGTGAACTTCACAGAGAGCGTGCACGCCTGCCTACCATGTTGAGAAAGAAAACACAGTGGAAACCCATCATGGTATCTCTACCAGCTTTGAAATTACTTAGCCAAATCTCCCCATACTATTTTCGGGACTGTCTGTAGAGCAGTCCTAAATGTGGTGTCTTCAAACATAGTTCTCAAGTGGCTCCTTTTCAACTGACAGGTTGCAGAAGAACACCTCAAACTTTCCACAGTGCTCTGCTTCCCTGTATCCCCAGGAATGCGAAAGTATACAAAGAACTGCATTTCTCCATGGGGGGTTGTATGCAAAATGCCCTGATGATCACTGTTCTGACAACGTACTAGTCATTTCAGACTAGGAGTTCTGATGGGCTTTCAGTGCATTAGTAATGAAATTCTAAAGAATTTCTCTTAATGCAGTTAAGTCAATATTGTTAAATGATATCTTGCTCATACAAGCTGTTAATCTGCTACAAATACCAACGCGTGTGCCCCGCACAAATGGGACACATAAAGAAATGGAAAATACAGACCAATGAAAAACCACAGAAACATTACAATTTACTAGTCAAAAATATCAGGTGAAGGTATGGCATAACAGGCACTCAAGCCTCCCGCTAGCCCTGAAAATGATTCATTCCCCTCTTCCCATGCAATTAAAAACAAACAAAAGGAAACATATGATTTGTGCAAAGCTAGCTAACACCTTCTTTAAAATTGTAATATTTGGGGGAAAAAAGCAATTGTAAATATTAGTCTGGCGAAGGAACTCAGCAACGCCTTCACAAAAGCTGTGAGCCCATCTGAACCCAGAAACAAACCCTGGGTTGCCTTGCTGTTCACAAACAGTGGAGAAGTTCCACTCCAGCTTCTGTGACTCGCTGTCATCTCTGTGCATTGTTAAATATAAGTTCAGGCTTGTAGCAAATCCCATAAGCAAAGGCCTGGCATCAAGACAGACACTGTGGTGAGGTCAAGCATGACTTCTCTCTGGATCTGCTTATGTGACGCTAGAGCCTTTTGGCATTTGCTAATAAGTCACAGTTTCGGTACACAGACCCAAGTACTCTTTTAAAATTCTTATTCTTTGTAGTTATTTTGCAAAGCTGCCTATATTCTTTTGGACACTGAAAAGCTAATTTCAGAAGAATGGAAACGGCAATAATTTTAGAAGAATGAAGGAGGAATAAATAAAACAATTTTTTTTCTGAAATAAGTGATTATCCTAAATTTTCTGAGGATCTCAAAATATGAGGAAGGCAGTGGAATCAGTTTTAAATAAAGCTTTTCAGCTTTAAATAAAGGAACAGAAACTCAGATGCTTTGGGATAAGTTGCATAGCCACAATTTGACTAGAGGATCAGGCATTCTGTTATTTTCCTTTTCATGTTTTTGTGAAGACTAATGGAAATGACTGCTCCTGTTCCATTTGTACCTTTCTAAAATCTGCTCAGCATAATTTATATTTGGAATGACCTGGTTCTGATCAGGGTGTGTGCGTGCATGAGTGTGCACATATATCCATATAAACTCATAAAGATGTGCCTTGTTGTGTACAAGTCAGAGGACAAATTAAAAAGTAGGGATTTTAGGCAACTTAGAATTTAGCATTTAACATAAGCTGCTTAAAGGCAACTGAAAGGGTAATCAACGTTCAGTCTTCACTTAGCTGTTGAACAATGATGGATATGGAGATTCCCAAAGCCTCATCACAGGCGGAAGTGAGGCTTGTCCTTTCAATGGCTGGACAAATATTTGATCTGTCTAATCCTTTGCAGTTTTAAAATGCTACCTAGCTCCAGGAAAATAATATACTCCCAGATCAGCCTAAAATAATTACAGAAACTTCATATCCTTCTTGTTTTCATTAATGACAGGGTGTTAGGATTAATAATGCTATTGCCAGCATCCCCTTGTTTTCATTAATGACAGGATGTTAGGATTAATAATGCTATTGCCAGCATACAGCAGACATC